TAGCTAAATCTTTTTCTTTTGGTTTTTTTTTTTTTTTTTTTTATGGTATTAGAGATTGAACCCAGGGCCTCACTCATGTTAGGTAAGTGCTGTACTACTGAGCTACATCCCTAGCTCTCTTTTAGTACATTTTGCAATAGAGCTTTGTTAAATTGCCCAGTTTGACCTCAAACATGCAATCAAACGACTTAGCCTTCAGAGTAGCTGGGATCACAGATATGCACCTCCATGTCTCATTAGAGCTTGTTTTGATATCTTACCATCTTCCAGTTTGTGGTTTTTGGGCATGTGACTTAACTGTTCTGTGTCTCAGGGTCCCCCTGTTTAGAATATGGAAACCAATAGTAACTGTCTCATGGGGATATGAATGTGTATGTGCTTTAAGTCAGAAAAGTATCTATACATGAGAAGTGCTTGTTAAATGTTAGCTGTAATTATTGAATAGATAGTTACTGAGTGATCCAGGCAATAGGCCGGCTACACCATGAACAAGATGTGACCCTTATAGTCAAAGTTTTATTTCCTGGGTTCAGTTTATATTAGCATTTGCCACATTCATTTGAGATTTGCATTTTTTTTTCCATTTTGTAGTTGAAGTCAAGTGATTTTGCAATCATGAAGCAGTTGCTGCCTCTGTTGGAGAAGGTCTCTAACACATACCCTGACCCTGTCATCCAAGAACTTGCTGCTGATCTCCGTATCACCATCTCTACCCATGGAGCCTTTGCCACACAGGCTGTCAGTATGGCTGCCCAAAGTACACTAAACAAAAAAGGTCCAGAAGAGAAAACAAAAGAGCAGCAACAAGGCAGTCACAACACACCGGTAGCTCAGAGCCATCATGAACAACAGAAAAGCCATAAGAAATCCCCCCAAACAGGCCAAAAATCTGATGTTCCATTCATTCCTGAGGGGATCAGTGAGCCTGGCACTACTGCAAACCAGAAATCTGGAAGCATAACTACAGAACAGCTCCAAGAAGTTCTTTTATCAGCTTATGATCCTCAGATTCCAATGCGAGCTGCTGCCCTGCGCACTATTTCCCGATGGATAGAGCAGAGAGAAGCAAAAGCCCTTGAGAGACAAGAGAAACTCCTTAAGGTAAGTAGAACACACTGCAAAGACACCTTGGCACAGGGCGGACAGCTGTCTAGGAACATGCATTCAAATTGAGTATTTTTGGAGCATTGTTCTCCAGGAACTTATAATTCTGAGGAAGCAAGACTTATACACAGGAAGACTTAAATGACCATACAAGACTACTCAGTTGAGCATGAACAGAGTTCCACAAGTTTTACATGCAAGACATGGTATAGTCAGACAGGAAAAAGAGAGAATTGAAATCTTCTGGGGTAGGTAGATCTTAGCCTGGCTTGATAAATGGGTAAAGTCTTGAGTAAAAGAGGGAGGATGTGGAACAATATGAGGAGAGTCCTGAGATGGGAAGATCAGCCTAGGTAAGCCACTTGTCTTTCTGGGCCCCTTTTAGAGGAGCATTGCAAAGGGCTGGGACTCATCCATTCCCCTCCCTCCATCACAGTGAAAAAGACTGTCCTTTCAATTCTAGATTTATAGGGCAGAATAGATATGCTTAGTTGGGAATCTTTTCCCTGTTGTGGAAATTGTCCTGATCTTAGTATGGGTTAGAGATGAATATAAAGGGTCTAGATACTCCTGCCTAGATAAATCCCAAAGCAGTTTCTTAGATAGTTCGCTTAAACTTTCTTAATTGTGATAACAATGATGATCTCTTTTGTATCATTTGGCTATTAGACTAAGACTTAATTCTGATTGAAAACATTTTAGTTATTAAAGTATTGAAGCTGATTGTATAAATAAGAGCTGCTGTTTATTGAGCCAAACATAAATCCTTCCTTTTTTTCTTTCTTTCTTTTTGGGTCTGGTTTTTTGGGGGGAGTTTATTTGTTTGTTTGTTTGTTTTAAGATAGGGTCTCACTATGTAGTCCAGACTGGCCTTGAACTTCTATATATCCCAGGCTGGCCTCAAATTCAATAATCCTCCTGCCTCAGCCTCCCAAGTGATGGAACCACAGGTGTATACCACCATTACTGGCTTTTCTTTTTTTGTGCTAAGCATCACAGACCGTATATCTTGAAAACTTTTTCTCTAATCCTCACAACTGCATTATCCCTGTTTTATAAACAATAAAGCCAAAGCACAGAAATATGCCAATGATTTGCTGTCACTGGAATCATTTAAAATATTCCTTGATACGCTTATTTAGGTAGTAAATAAATCTGCTGGGAAATGACACAGCACTATATAGAGATCAGACACCAGACTTGTCTGATCTGAATATGGACACATGGCTATTATCTTTCCCTGACTTGCATGTTAGGACCCAAACCTAACATGCCATTGTTGTATCTTCTTTCTTTTTCTTTTTTTTCTTTTTTTTTTTTTTTTTGTACCAGGGATCAAACTCGGGACCTTGCACTTACAAGGTAAGTGGCAGAACCATTGAGCTAAATTCCCCAGCCCACTGTTGTGTCTTCTAAGTAAGCCATAGCCACTGCAGTTGACAAACACACCTGGTAAACTCTTAAATTGGGGGATGTATTAACAGTAATTTGTTCCTAAGGCCAATTGAAGTTCAAAAAATTGCCAGGTTTTTTTCATTTTTCATTTTTGTAATGCCAGGGATCAAATTCGGGATGTTGCACATACTAGGTGAGCACTCTAACTCTGAGCTATACCCCCAGCCCAATTTGCCAGATTTTTATGAATAAAGTAGATTCAAAGTTGTGTTAGTAATAATATCTCAGTCTCATTTGCGCTTCCATGTTTTGTGAGCACAAGAAAAAAGGATCACACTGTAGCAAATGTGCAGAACCCCACACCTGGCCTCTTGTGGGGCACAGTCGGTGGTCTCTCCTGTCGTCTCTGAGAATGCTGAAGATTGATCTTCCCTATGTTGGTTTCTATGATTAGTACTTCAAAAAGTACCTGCCCCATGTGCCCTTTTGGTTTTTTGAGACAAGGTCTCCCCATGTAGCTTAGGGTGGCCTGGAATTTGCTTTGTAGCCCAGAGGCCTCAAACTCAAGGTATGCTGCCACAACCAGCCCCCACTTTTTTTAGATGTTATAAAAATGAGACATGCATATTATACGATTTTCCTCACAAGATTCTGAGACCAATTTCTAGTTAATAGAAATAAGAAAAGTATTTACTTTCTTAAGACTATAGATAAGGGAGTCTCAAGTGTTTCTTGCTCTTTGTAAGTCATGTCACTATATTTTGTGGTTCCAGATATTCTTGGAGAACTTGGAACATGAAGACACTTTTGTGTATCTGTCTGCAATTCAGGGTAAGTTTGTTCTGCTTAAAGGACTTTGAGTCTATGGATCAAAGATCTTATTATGTTTATTTGTACAAAATCTCTACTGTCACATTTTGTCCATTTTCCTGCCTTGTCACTAAGATATTCTAAGTGATAATATTGCTTGAGGATTTCCAAAGAGTCCCTGTAGAGTTTCAGTGTCTCATAACCACAAGATTTTTATGTTCACTGTTTATAGATTAAAGCAGGCATGGTGGCACACCACAATAATCTCAGCATTCTGGGAGGCTGAGGCAGAAAGATCCCAAGTTCAAGCCCAGCTGGGGCAACTTAGTGAGACCTTGTCTCAAAATAAAAAATCACAGTGGTGCGCCTGCCTGCCTTGCAAGTGCAAGGTCCCAAGTTTGATCCCCGGTACCAAAAAATGAAATAAAATAAAAGAGGACTGAGGTGGCTTATGTGAAGACCATGAGTTCAACTTCAGTGCCAATAAAGAAATAAATAAACAAACAAATAAAGAATTCTGTAGGTTAAGTCCTATTTCTTCTAATTCTGTAGAGTGTGTAGAGAATTAGGCATCCTTCCCAAAAGGAGGAGAAGCAGAGATGGTGAGGTTAGAACTACCTTTGATTTTAGCCAAAAGACCGAGAAGCAATTGAGATGGCGAGGTTAGAATGCATTCAGTTTCCTTGGTGCTGTCAGCATAGTAAGTCAGGCTCTGGAGGCAGCTCACCTGGGTGCACCTCCCCATCTCCCTGTTTCTCAGCTTGCAAATGACTTAATCCCTCTCTGCTGCAATTCCTTTCTTTCCTTTTCTAAGAGGCATAAAGAGGTTTGGTAAATCAGGATTTAAAGTACATGAAGGAATAGAGTGCAGGCAATCAAGAGAGAGGCACCTGGGGCTGGGGCTTTAGCTGAGTAGTTCTGGTGCCTGCCTCAGAAAGAAGCTCAAGGGCGCAAGTTTGACAAGAGGGAGAGGGAGATGGAGCGGGAGAGGACACACACACCTGGGCTACAAGCTCTTATGGTTAAAATTGGACTAAATGAGAATGGTACAGATACTTTGGAGAATAGCCGGGCAGTTCCTAAAAAATAGAAACCTAGACTTGATGCAATATTTCCATTCCTAGGTCTATACCCAAGAAATGAAAACAGGTCTCCACAAAAACTATATGTGAGTGTTCATAGCAGCATTAAGCACAGTAGCCAAAAAGTGGACCCAAATGTTTATCAGTTAATAAGTAAATAAACAAAGGTATATATACACAGGGATTTTAATTTTTTTAACTGTAACAATTAAGTACTCATACTATGATTTGGATAAACTTTGAAAATGTTATGTTGAATGAGAGAAACTGGCTTATAAGGACAATGTATGCTATGAGTTATTTATATGAAATGCATAGAATAGACAATTTGTAGAATACAGAAAGTATATGAGTGGTTGCCTGGGCCTGGAGGAGCAGGAATATGGTTGGGAATGTTACCTAAAGGACGTAAGGTTTCTTTTTAGGGTAATGAAAACATTCTAAAAGTATTTGGGTGATGCATATATCTCTACAAGTATGCAAGGAATCATTGAGATGTACACCTTAGAGAGGTGAATTGTATACAAATGATAAAATATAACTGCTGCCAAATAAAACTCAGTAAGAAAGGAGAGGGCTAAGACTGTCAGCACCTAAGAAAATAAGACAACTAACTGTAATGTGGTAGATGGTGTCCTAGAATCAATAGTATCTGAGGAAAAACTAAAGAGATTTGAGTAAGTTATAGGCTTTATTTGATGATAAAGTATCAATATTATATTAGTTATTTTTGATAAATATGTAAGTGTGTGGGATCAAACTCAGGACCTTGCGCTTGTGAGGCAGGAGGCAGCTCTACTGAGCTAAACCCCTGGCCCAGGTTTCTTTTTATTTTTAATTTAAATAAAAAAAAATTTTGTTTTGAGACAGAGTCTTCCTAAGTCCCTGAGTTACCCAGGTTGAGCTCAAACTTTTGATTCTATTGCCTCAGGCTCCCAGAGTACTGGGATCAAAGGAATGTGCCATCATGCTTAGCTGACAAATAAACCTGTAGGTTATGTTCATAATCCCTGCTACTCAGGAAGCTGAGGCAGGAAGAGAGCTCCCATTCAGAAGTTTGAGACCAGCCTGTGCAATATGGCAAGACCCCATCTCATTAAAACAATAATAGAGGAAAACAGGAGTAAAATATATGGGATATTTGTACTATCTTCTCATTAATTCTGTAATCTGAAGCTATTCCTTAAAGAGTTTATCTACACAGGGGAGCTAATACCGAGTTAAATGAGTTAATGCCTGAAAAGTGCTTAGCACATAGTGTTCGGTGTATGTTAGCCGCTATTATTTTAGTTAGTGTTAGCGTCATCATCATCGTCATCACTGTTACTTCTGTTAGATTGCTGGATAATAATGTGGGGACCTGTGTGACTTCTCACATCTAAATCTTGAGTAGGCTTGTTCTATCAGTTATTGTTGCTTAACAAATTACCCCAACACTTGATGTCTTAAAATGATCAGTCATTATCATTCATGCATCCACAGTTGAGGCTCAGAGGATCTGGTCTGGGCCTGGCTGGGCAGCTTCACTTCTCCCTGCAGGTCTGGGGCCAACATCAGCATCTCTGTGCATGAGTTTTTGGTTGTCCCTGATCAGTGATCTGCTAGGGCATGTTCCTGTGGTGACAGCAGAAATATCAAAAAGGAAGCATTCACGTAGGAGACCTTTTCAGGCGAAGCTTGGAACACGCACCCTGTCAGTTCAGCCTCATTCTTTTGATCAAAGCAAGTCATGTGGCCCAACCCAAAGTTCAGGAGTGAAGAAATATCCCTGGAATAGGATGAAATACCAAGTCACAGTATAGGGCACAGATCCAGGGAAGGGTACAGAATTGATGCCAGTAATGCAGTTCTTCACACTGTTGTTTGCCTTCCAAAAGCAAGGCTCACAGTGAGCACAGAGGCACATCCAGGTTCCTACTGGTTAGTTTTTTTTGCATGTACTCTGGGTTTGCTCTAGAGACTTCTTATTTATTTTTGGTTTTCAGGGTTTTTTGTTGTTCTTGTTGTTGTTTTTGTTTTTATACAGGGTCTCACCATGTACTTCAGGCTGGCCTTGAAGTCACTGTGTAGCCCAGGTTGGCCTCAAACTTGTGGCAGGTCTCATGCCTCAGTCCCCTAAGTACTGGAACTACAGGTGTGCACCACCACATCTGACAAGACTTCATATTTAAAGTTTAAGAGAGAATGCAGAGGGGACTTGAGCCTGGGATTCTTAATTTATTCAATATAATATTGTACACCTACTATGTATAAACCATTTTAGATTAACCATGACCTGTGACTAGGCCGAAAGGCACAAAGAGAAAGCTTCAAAGGAAAAGAAATGACCATCCAAAAGAGGAATAGGGCACCAGGTGAAAGTGGAAGCCTAAAGAGTAGAGATAATAACCTGCAGCTGAGAGTTCTGAGAGCCCTAGGGGCTTAGCAGCCCTCAGGGGGCCACATGAGGCTACATGACAGGGAATGGTATTTATGGAAATCAGATAAATCAATGGAGCAAGACCTAAATTGCCTCTAATTATTAAGTCTGAGAAAATAAGTCATCCAGCACTTTCTCCAGGAACCTGTAGTGCTGTTAAAGAGCTGTTTTTCATTTATTTTGTTTTTAGGATCGGCTTTTTGGAAAGTGGTGGTATGCCATTCTAACATTGATGCCTGGAATAACCTCCTTAGTTGGTTAACCCATTGAGCTCATTAGCCTCTAAGATCTGCTCTAAAAATAGCAACTGTTGGTGTTATGTTTGTTTTGAGCAATTTTAATTGGTGTGCTAATCAGTACCTAATTTGATGATGAAGAGCACGAGAGGGGGAGGTATAATTTCTGTTCTCAGTTCCCCAGGATGGACAAGCTTGAACTAATTGATGTTTTTGGTGTTTGAAATATGCACTTAAAAGCCAAGGCCTTAGGTTAATTTCCCATTAAGAAAGGAAAGAGCTGAATTTTCCCACCTGTGTTGCCAGTGTAGTTTGCCCCGGCCTAAACTTCTCTAGCAACAAAGCCATTCTGGACTCCAGTCAGACAAGTCCTCCAGACAAGGAGTGCTTAGTTGTCCTTTGAGTGGTATTTAGTTTTTGAGAATATTTGTCTGTCTGTTTAAAGTTTTCCTTTTCTAGGCTGCTTGAATGGCTCTGTGTGAGAATTACACAGTACTTTTTGCTTAATTTATTGACAATTTGAATATCTTTTATAATTTCTCACCAACTCTGTCTGCAATCTAGGTAGAGAGCAAAGAGGAATTAAATAAATTCATTTATTCAGCAAGTATTATTGTGTCAGATTTAGAAATTTCTGATGTATGTATTATCTATCACAGCAGTCTGAGAGCTGAATTCCCATTGAGTAAAGTTTGAGTGTTATTAAAGACTGTGTACATCTGTCTGTATCTTATTTAATCAGACAGTTCCATGCTGGTTGCATTGCTCTAGAAGCTGCTCCCAGGTACTCACAAGCTGCTGCTTCAGGCAGAGAAATAGATACAAAAATTGCCGTGTTCCAGCTACCATCCAGCTTATAGATTGATGACTTGATCTTAACCCTATTGACTTAAATTGTGCCTCTCCTTTTTATACTTCTTGTATATTCTTTTTTATTTTTTTAATCATCTTTATACAAGTAATACACTTTTGTTGTCAATTTCAGTGACAAGTATAAAAGGTAAAATGCAGAATTCTTTCCCTTTCCCAAAGTAGGAGTTGTGTTCTTCATAGTCTGATACTATATTGTAGGTTTTAGGGACATTTTGTACATTTAAGTTCTGAAGTAATTGTTCAGTAATGAATATGATGTAATATTTTTCAGTAAGATATTATAGTCACAGGCTGGGGATTTAGCTCAGCGGTTCAGTGGCCTGCCTTGCAAGCGCAAGGACCTGAGTTGAATCCCCAGTACCAAAAAAAAAAAAAAGATATTATAGTCACATTTTTAAAATCATGCTGTGG